TTCATGGAGAGTTAGTGCTTACTAGTGACTACAGACATGTTAGATAACGATGTGCGACACATGGCTTGATGCAAATGTTGATTTCCATTGTCTCTGCATTGTCATTGAAGTCTTCTTTTGTCTTTTGTTCGTTCATCACAGCAGGTGTCATTATTGCAGCCCATGGCAGGATTTGAAAAGGGATTTAACCCTGTATATTCATGGTTTTCCATGCTTGTGGATATATGAAAAAGATTTCTTTGTTTATTTTGTTTAAACAATTGAAACAAAAATGTATCTCTGCATGAATGATATCTGGGCTTGAAGAAAAATTATTTAAGACTGTAGAAGAGTTCTGAAATTCGTACTTGTATGATACAAATTCTTCTTGATGGCAGAATTATGTTTCCTGACCAGTGTTGAGGCAGAAAGTTGTCATGTTTATAAGGAGCACCAGGAGCTGGAACCCCACCCACTCTCCTAAGTCCAACAACATAGACAATCGTCTTACCATGCCAGCTTAGAACCAAAACATTGCTTGTTTCCATGGCAACAGTTATGTCATTGTATCAGATAACAGTTGCTGGAATCCACCAATCCGAGAGCAGCCTGAGAGTGATAGAGGTCATTTTAAGTCAGTATCAACCGGCAAGGAATTGATTTACCATTTGTTGGTTGTCGTTGTCTTCCTATCATGGGGAAGATGTCAGTATCCCGTGTCAGTTGTCTCCCTCAAGTTAACAAAGAAATCACTTCCATGGAAACTTATTGATTTTCCTGAAATTTATTGATAATTCATTTGGATTGATCTGGTAGCAGTGTAAGTCTGGACATATTCTAGTTCAACAGCTGTCACTGCCAATGTACTGAAAGGCCTGTGTGTCAGAATATTATTTAGTTGTCACTGGATAAAGAATCATTCATCCTGTAATTCTATGAGAACTGAAATTACTATTACACTGGTGAGGCACGTTTGTAAGGACAAATGAATTATTTATGTTCCTACCTGAACCCTTTTTTTAATTGGTATTTTTGTAATATTGCGTGACTAGATACTTTCTGTTTAGTGTAAATACACATAATTTTAATTTAATTTACAGATAATTTAAATTTATTTCACATTGGATTTAACTGAATCTTATGTATCTAAATTAAAACTTGAAACATTGTTTTAGCTTGACTTGATAAAATATGTCAGGTTATGGTAGGGTCGTTGGTATTATTTAAGAACATAATTAAGTATGTGTGTTATTAAATACAATTTAAAGCTAAAACAAACAACCAAAAAGTAGCAATGCATCACTGCTTTTTGAATGTGAAGCCTCTCTGCATGTGTTAAAAAGTCAGCAGTTTGGGTAGTTATAATGTATTATCCACCAGACCAGGGCTCCAGATAAGGGCCGTATCGGCGTATGTATGGATAAAAAATATGCACGATACGATAGGAAATATTTTAAAATATGTAGCAGATACGCACCACAGCAATGGTGTACGGTCTTAGAATCATTTGCAGACGTATTTATCTGAAAAAGTATTGTTTTATTGTTAATAGACTGTTTACACAAGAGTAGCAATGTTGTGGCGCAAATATGAAACGAAACACACGATTACTGGGACTCCATTAAATTCCATTCAGTACTCTAAATGTACTCTTACGTTTTTCCAGTACTCCTATATTGAAAAAATAAGGAGTATGTACTCCTGGTGTTTAAAGATTATCTGGAGCCCTGGTAACTTTGTTGGTTCTGTGTCTTATGCCACAGATCACTGGTTTGTTTGGTACTTTCCGCTGTTACCTCTGGAGTGATGCAGACTTCAGGGGGTAAAGTGTTATGGCTGTCAACATCATATGTTATCGAGTTAAAGTCTCAATCCTACCTGTAAAGATCCGGGTTCTAATTGGTCTTCAGCAACCCTTGCTTGTCGTGAGAGGTGATTAATAGGATCGAGTGGTTAGGCTTGCTGACTCAGTTGACACATGTCATCATATCCCAATCAATGCTCATGCTTTCGATCACTGGATTGTCTGGTCCAGACTCAATTATTTACAGACTGCAGCCATGTAGCTGGAACAATGCTGAGCGTTGCGTTAAACAAACTAAAAGTCTCAATCCAATAGCCTGCTATTTTCAAGTTTCAAGGGAACTGCTTGAATATTCTGCCCTGGTGTAGGGTAGGTGGGAAAGAACTAATTGTAGAAAGTTGATGTATTTCTGCTTTAAAAGGTTCCCAAGTCAAAACTTGTAGTGCATGTTTCGGAAATGAATGCAGTCACTTCCTGGTGTTCAGTGATACTTCCTGGTGTTCAGTGACACTTCCTGGTGTCTTCTAGATGACCGAGATTCCTGGTGTCCTGTAGCAGGACCTCAGTTCATTGATTGGAGTCTGGTGTCTTGTATATACAGTATTTGAGGTGAGGGAGGTCATTGACGATGGCACTGTAGCATTTGAATTTAGGGAGGTCATTGACGATTTGAATTTTGGAATCTTACAGTTGTTGCGATTTTATCCCTCGACTTTCATGCTTAAGACTGATCTAGGAAGTGTGTTGGTTTTCAGTACAGCAGTGGAGGTAGTATGTCAAATATATATCCTGTATACTGAGTTCAGAATAGCCACTCATGTTGTTACTTGTCAGGAAGTGACCCAACATCTGGTGTGGGCTGTACCAGCCATCAGTTTGTATCAAGGAAGTGGAGCTCCTGGCCAGTTAGATCATGTTTACCCTTGTTTATTTCTTCGCTGTTGTTTTCCTTCCATATTTGCCAACTTGCATGTTATTGAAGTTAATATTTTCAAGCTTATTTGATAATTTCTGTGATGGACTACCAAGGCCTGTGGTTGTTGGTTGGCGTGAACAAATTTCATGGCAGCTGTTCATGTCTGTGCGTGTAACAGTTGTGTTATAGTGCATATTTTTAATGAGTGATAGAATGAGAGTAACATACTGTTGGAGTCCTGTTGGTAGTCGTCACTCAGTCCTTCCCGGTCTAATTGCGACAAGAGGGCACCAAAAGAATACAATGTCATACTTCAGGTTTTATTCTTTTATTTCATCCAGAGGCATGGACAAACCTCAATGGCATATATTTACCTTGGACAATGGCACAAACAAATCTTAAATGATAGCATCGACTTACCTTGAACAATGGCTTGGACTCACCTTGAACAATTCCATTGACTTACCTTTAACAATGTTATTGACTTACCTTGAACGAAGTTATTGACTTACCTTGAACAATGTTATTGACTTACCTTGAACAATGGCATCGACTTACCTTGAACAATGGCATCGACTTACCTTGAACAATGGCATTGACTTACCTTGAACAATGGCATTGACTTACCTTGAACAATGTTATCGACTTACCTTGAACAATGGCATCGACTTACCTTGAACAATGTTATCGACTTACCTTGAACAATGGCATCGACTTACTTTGAACAATGGCGTCCACTCACCTTGAACAATCTGAACAAGTATATGTTAATTACAATGATAAATGTGATAAATTAATTATTTCTGGAAAATACCCCTCGGTTTATTCTGTGTATCAGCAAGGCTTCATTTACATGTTCAGCACAATACGTTCACCTGTCATTGATTACTGTTGATGACTGCCTGCATGCTGCTTGTACAATACATGCTTGTAGAACACTGTTTTCTGAATTTCTCAGAATTGCCAGAGAAAAAGCCATGGACAGTTTACTTGCATTCTGTTAAAAAGTTGCTTAACATTGTTATAGGATACGATAATGAGATTTGATCTAAAATTTGTTGACTGATACTGCACAACTGAACAAACTAACAGTGATCACATGACAACATTTACAGATAAATTTGTTTTGAAGAAACAAATAAATCCGATATTGTTTCTTGTTCTGTCCTCCTTCACAAGGACGGTATTTTTCACAATGAGATCTAGGGGCGGTGGGGTAGCCTTGTGGTTAAAGTGTTGGCTCGTCACGCCGAAGACCCAGGTTCGAATCCCCACATGGGTACAATGTGTGAAGCCCATTTCTGGTGTCCCCCGCCGTGATGTTGCTGGAATATTGCTAAAAGCGGCGTAAAACCAAACTCAGTTAGTCACAATGAGATCTGTAAAGAAAGAAAACGTCAATCATTGAAATCAAGTCTTGAGCTTTTTACTACTATGTGCCAAAATGAATTCACACATTCAATTAACAAGGGCTAGTAAAGTCATTACAACTAACACATAAATTGTTAACAAGACGAGAATACAAGAAACATAAACTTGTTTGAAACATCGAGGTACTGACTAGTGTTTACTTGACATATTGTACTATTCCCCTGAGGACTACTTGCCTCATATAATAGTTCCTGGAAACTGTGTACCATTTTAGGATGATTGTGATGATTAGTGATGATGACAGCAATAATTACAATGATGACAGGAACATTTAATTATTTTTAATCGTCACTGAATCAATGATTGGTGATGAGGAAGATATCATGCCGTTTCCAGCAAATCCCTCCTCTTTGTTATTCAGTTATTTCTGAAAGTATGGTACTTTTTGAATACCTGGGGCCTTATTTGATTAAAATGTCAATTCATAATAGCACAGGCATTATGCTGGGTCAGAATAGATCCCCAGAATCGTTGGGTGTTTTGAAACCATTCTGGTGTACAGAAATATTTGAAACATGTCATCTGGATAATAGTACCAACCACTGGTTTGTCTGGTCCAGACTTGATGAACATTCCCATATGATAGTTTGAAATATGAATTCGTCGTAAAACATGCTCTCATGATTCATACTGTATTAAAGCTGGGGCGGTGGGATAGCCTAGTGGTTAAAGCATTTGCTGGTAATGCTGAAGACCCGGGTTCGATTCCCCACATGGGTACAATGTGTGAATCCCATTTCTGGTGTCTCCTGCTGTGATATTGCTAAATATATATACTGGAATATTGTTAAAAGCAGCTTAAAACCAAATTCACTTACTGTATTAAAGCTGATTGTGATTCTCTGCTGATCGTGCAAATTTTTGTTCCAGAATGCAGCGCCCAGTCCTCTGAGTCAGATGCCCCCACAAGATGGCATGCCTGGCGGGCCCATGCCACCTAGTTTTTTTCCTGTAAGTAAATCCAAGACCAACTTCTCACAGACTTTCTTTGGGTAAACCTCTCTGCAGCAGTTGGGCTAGTAAATGTGTTACATTTGTAGATCAGGTTTATCATTCTACTTAAGCAACTTTCTCTAGTTAGTTCTGTAGATTATAGATAGTGATGATACTTCAGCATCTACTGAATAGGATTTAGTACTGCTAAGTAGTACAAGGGATCTTATCTACAAATGAAGGGGGCACATTCTTTAAATGAGATCTTGACAAGGAACAGTTTGTCATGTGAGTCTTTGTAAGGTTAATCAAGTGTTTAGTGATGCAATAAACGTAATCTTAAATAATGGATAAGAGATTGTCATTATGTCCTGGAATGAATGAGGAAAGGATTATTTAAATCCGGGAATAATTGATACAAGGAAATAATCGATATATTTGTTTTATCCATATATTGTCATCCTTCCTCGATATTTAAAGCTAGGAGATATCGATATGTAATATCTGGCTCTTGAATGCATGTTTTCTGGGGTCACTGTGTTAGGATTGTTAGTTGTCAGGATTGTGAATTCTGTAGAGAGCGGCAGTTGTTGTAGACCTAAGTTTTGTTGTGATTGTAAGAGTTGTTCGTTCGTGAAGTGATAGAGCGTGGGATCCACGTCGTTAAGAACTGCATGAGCACCGCGTCAGCGTCACCGCGTGCATGCTTCCTCACCAGAATTTCCCTCACCGCTGATTGAGTTCTCCAGCGTATTCAAATATTAACTGTAGTTTGGTATCAGGTTTGAAAAGTTCTTTGTATATTACAATTTTGAAGTATCGAGTTGAAACTTCACATGCTGACCTGCGTGTGGAGCAAACTGCACCCGATTATTTGCACATTGCTGACAATGTCTCCCACTGGCCACCGGCCTCTTTCACGTTGACAGCCTCCCGCGTCCCAGCCGTCCCCCCACTCACAGCCTCCTCACAATCCCATGATGGGTCAGAACCAAGTGAGTACCCTACCTACCAACCTGGCCTCAGTCAATCACACATAGCAACCTACACTTACTTTGTCACTGCCACTTGCTGCTATTTGCCATCATGCTGTTGGCCTTCGTTGGTGGGACGAGACTCGCTAGATCGGTGGCAAGACATGGCCCCTTCTGCTGGCACCGGTCTTGTCGGGGATCGCCTCTCCGTGTGTCATTCAGTTTTAGTCTTCTCTCTGCTTCTAGATTGTCTGTAGGACGTTTCCTGTTGAGTCAGAGGTTACCTCCCTTGGAATTCTGAAAACATTTGTGCCAAACATGAAAACGGGGTTGTTTTTTCAGTTTTAATTACAAAATACATTTCTGTATACATATGTGTCCATACTCAAAGCATTTCCAAGAAAATGCCTTGAAACAATTTCACTTACATAGCCAGATTTTATTTTATATGTTCATTTCCATGTGATATTTGAAATAAAACAAACACATTACTGTGTAAAATTATAATCAAATTCTTTCAGGGCTTGTCCAAATATCCAAGAATAAGTAGTTCCACAGTCAAGGGGAGGTAACTCTAATCTGTTCTCATGGGATAGAGTAGTATTAACATATGATGGTGGTAACAATAACAAAAGCAGTCACATGTACATAACCCTGTATGTTTTATACCTTTTACAACTTTTCCATGATTGTTTTCACCAAAAATTGAATGATAATGTGGCGATGTTTATTTAAAAAAGTTGTCTTTCCCAAATATGAGGAGGCAGAGGGGTTTTGGACGAGCGGGAGCTGGTATGCTATACCAATCAGTTTACACCCACTTCCATATTCACACCCACTTCCAGAAACAAGTCACTGCAGATTACTTCCAAACTTCGTTCCCTTTACACCTTTTGCAAGTCTAGTCCACCTACTGTAATGATACTTAGTTATTGTGTGAATGACCAAGGGAGGTAATTGTGTTCGTCTTTTTAATTTTGTTCTGTAGACTAGAAGATTTTGTATCTCTAACCCATTTTGATGCCATGTTCATAGTTGATGTTGTGGCCCTGGGTAGCAGTTAGAGTATTTTAACTTTGGAATGGGCGTTGCTGTCATTGTAGCTTATGGCTTTGTTTATGTTTTCTAATGCAAATATGTCCTGTCGATTAACAACTATGTGTCGTACCAATACAGCATCGTAAGATGCATCACTGTGTGTCTGTATCATAGATACTTTGATGAATGTTTGTGACAATCACAGCTGATTCCAATTTCAACGGACACCAATCGTGATTGAGGTCATTTTGTCTACAGCTTTGCAACATTATGAAGTAATCATTTATTGTTTATATGTTATATAAGAATAACCAGGTAATATTGAACATTTGTTTTTCAACATGTCACCATAAAATCAACCTGCAAACATTTTTTCAGCAAAGGCATATAGCATCCTTCTGTTTTAAGTCTGATGGGTGGCTACATTACTTTATAAGCTCAGTTGCAGATCATAGACCTGGATTTGTTTCTTTGGGGAAAAAGTTTTAATCCCATTGTAGGTTTTCTCAAGCCATTGAATATCCATTTTCTGAATGAGGTCTATTGTGAAACAGGGTTTAGCACATGACAGTTGAAAGGGGTTCTAAATACGTCAGCTCCTCTACCCCATTACCACCATCCTCAGTAAAGTGGGTAGTTTGTTCGGAAACGCTCTTATTAACCCCAAATATGCTTTGAGTATGGTTATCTGGTGAGTCGGGGTGAAGTGACTCATCGAACTTTTATGAATGCTTCAGTGTGTTACACTACAGTACATTCTTTTCTCATCAATCAAGTATTTGTGTTTATACATACATACATATTCATCTCATATATGAATACAAAGTAACGCTCTCCCGAAAGGATATCAATCAGATTAATTAACAATTTATTTATCCCCTCTAAACAGATAGTTGTAAGTGGAGTGTTAATGCCTCTCCAGTCAAAGGGAGACAACTCTCCATATCTTATTTACCCAGTGACCACCTGCATTGCAGTATTCGTTTCATGAGTGACCACCAGTAATAGAACTGTTTTTGTTTCCCCCCCCCCAAAAAAAAAACCAAACAAAGTACAATAGGGAGAAATAAAGATTTCTTCAATCTTGTGTTGTGTTGTATTGATCTGTTGTATTGAAAATGATCCAGAAAACCTTTCCTGTTTTGCCTGCTCTTTCTTCAGTTTTCTGCTTTGCAGCAAACATCCTTCATTAATAAACATATATCCATAAATTATTTTGTGAAAACTGAAAAAAGAACTTGTTGAAAAAATTATAATCAAATACTGAAATGTACAAACCCACATGGTCAAATAATTCTCTAAGGGGAGGCAACTCCTTCAGGGTTGGCTATGGCCATAGTGAATTGCTTCCCTTGGACCAGATATTACATGCAACAAAGATGTGTTTGAACATACTTAAAATACTTTTACGATGGTCACAAAAATATTGATCAATAATCATGATTATGAACTGAAATGGAAGTCTCTAGCTTGGTCTGTCTCTTACCACAGAATAGATCTGTCTCCGTGAATTAATTACATATGTTATTTAGGCTTCAGATAGTTTCTTGGGCACTGAGTATTTACACACATGTTATCATTCCTACTTGTAGTTTTTGTTTTCTTAAACGAATAAAATACCAATTCTAAAATAATTGATCTTATTGTGCCGTTTCGGGTGATAGCTTGTGCATTATTCACAGCAGAAAAGAACATTTTGTCAGTTGCCTGCTTTCCATCGGCATAAAAAAACATGTAAAGAAATGTAGGCATGCTAACTGAAACGGCTACTTTCACACAGCGTTGTGTCACCGCTGTTACCATGTGTGTGCAGAAGCACCTAAAGGGCGATGGGGTAGCCGATTGGTTAAAGCGTTCGCTCATCACGCCGGGTTCGATTCCCCGCATGGGTACCATGTGTGAAGCCCATTTATGGTGTCCCCAGCCATGATGTTGCTGGAATATTGCTAAAAGCGGCATACAAGTTCACTCACTCACTCGCAAAGATTATGCCATGTTTTTAAATATTAATATCAGTAAATGTTTGTTTTTCTTCAGTATTATAAAGGAGGAAGGATGTGACTTCCTTCCCTATCATAAATGCCTTGTAAAATATTTCAACAATTCTAACACGTTACGTTTTCATTTTACAGTTCAGCGGGACTATAAAACCAAACTATGTTTTTGTTGTAATCCACTAATGAACCTGATATATTCTGTCTTCCATCTCTTGGCATATTCTGCAAGAAAACTGGATCAATAATTTGTCTTCCCAGTTTCAAAAGATTGGTCGCAGTTTCATTTATTCTTTGAAATGCTATCCATAAAAACATGGATTCATTTAAGATTTCTACAGATGGACATTCTTTGTGGAAAAAAATGATATTTTCATTTTAAGCAATCATGAAAAGAAACTTTCTTGTGGTAATATTTTGCAGCTTTAAATTGCAGATATCTTCTTTTTTGTCCATTTTGGAGCTGGACAAATTAGTTTTGAATATCAGAAGTGATGTTTCTTCTTGAGGTGCAATGGCGGAAATACTGCATGATTACATTTGGAAGATGGAGAAATATTGATCACTATCTTTCTATTACAGATAGTTGACAACATAAATGATTACATAGGATGTACATGATTTTAGCACTGATTGAAACATGCACTCTAGTGAGGCTGCAATGATCACCATGTTTGGACAAAGTTTGTTTTGTTTGGGGTTTTTGTTTATTTTTCAGTCTTCTCAATTTTTTTTATGAATCCCAACGTGCATTCACATCATAACAAATTTGAAAAAAGAATGAACTAAAAAAATTCTGATTAATTTTAAAGCAAGAAACCAAAGATTTGAATGCAGAATTAGTTCATTTCACTTCTCACAGTTCTAAAAGTTCATTTGATGATCAATACTTTTCTTTTACATCAATATTGTAAGGCAGAATAATGCTGGTGGTTTTTTTTACAGTCTTGACATTGACCTCTGGCAGTCGGGTATATTATGAGGACACCGAGATAATACCTCAAGTAGGTTTACCATTACAAGTAAATGTCTCCCCAAATAAAGAAAACAATACAAAAGGTGGAATTAAAAAACAAACAATCTTTTCATGGTTCATGAGAAAAGGTCAATAATACTTATAAAATCCTTATCACTGAACAAAAACAATCACTTATATCTTGGTATTTTGCTGTGAAAAATTGCTTTCAGTTTCATTCATTAGCAGGGCACAGAAGGCCAAACCAACTCACTCACTTATAGTAATAGTAATCTGGAAGTTCTTTTATAAACCTTTTAACTCCCATCATGGAATTAGAAGCCTTTTTGTTTGTAAACCATCTATTAAGAAATAAGAGGCCAAACATGAGATGAACAGTGCACATGTGCAACCCTGTCAGATGGATTTGCATTAACCCTGAGGCACCAATGGCTTCCTATCAACCCAAGTGATCTCAAACTCATTTGTTTCCACAAAATTATGAAAGCCTCATAAAAAGGTGAAATAGGCAAGGGAATATTTCATGTTTTGAAATCTCTTCCCAGATATGTCATGACAGCGTGTGAGTTAGTTGCTAGGCTGCTCTTGGAGTCCATGTAGAATGTTAAAACTCCATCGAAGTAATAGGTGTAGCCAGTGAATCGTTAAATGGAATGTACAGTTGCTGGAAGCACATAAGTAAAGTAGGAACCTACCTGACAGCGGCAGCAGCAGCAGCGGGGGGGCTTGTGTAATCCATTATCCTCAATCGTGGGGCACACAACACAAACACGTCACCATAATGAGGAAACATTACCATGAAGTTTCAGAGCTGAAGCTGTTCTGTCGCCTTGACACTATCAATGCTCCCAACATTTTCTTGCTCATGTCCCCGTCCTTATCCATCGGATAATATCCTTATCCATCAGGAGCGCATCCTTATTCCCTAGGATTGCATCCTTATCCATTGGGATCACATCCTTATCCATTTAGATTGAATCCTTATCCATTATGATCTCATTCTTATTTATCCTTTTTTGTGCATTCTTCTCGTTCATGAACCCATCCTTACTCTGTGAGATGGGATCCTTATCCATCAGAACCTTGTCATTTCTTTTGAGATGTGCATCATGAGATCAGTATTCCATTCTCTTTCAAGAAACCCCATCAATCTCTTTCAAGATCACCATCCTTTTCCGTTGAGATCTTGTCATTTTTTGAGAGCTCTCTCATTGAATCAACATCTGTAATTTCTATTGAGTAACCCTTTACAGTATGTCTCTCCCTTTACTCAATGGTCTGTCCTCTTGTGATGGAACTTGTGAGGTGGGATGAGATGGGACTACTTCAGAAGCATTGTTGTGATAGTAATTTCTCATTGTACAACACTGTCAAGTGATATCCTAAAATGATATCCTACCCTGTCCAGGAAGCTTCCTTGCACCACAGATATCCTGCAATATGCACATACCAGTCACCCAGTCACAGCATAGCTAACCTCTGTGCCGCCCGGAGTTGGAGTATATCTGGAGCTGCCTCAGCTCTTGCATCATGGCTGTCCCACAACATGCACATACCTGTCACCTGCTACCTTCTGCAAGTGAACCAACGACCACATACCTGTCACCTGATCGCAGTTCCCTTCAGATCACCCTGGATTTGAGTAACCTGGGAGCTACCTTCTGCAAGTTAACCAACGACCACATACCTGTCACCTGATCGCAGTTCCCTTCAGATCACCCTGGATTTGAGTAAACTGAGAGCTACCTTCTGCAAGTTAACCAACGACCACATACCTGTCACCTGATCGCAGTTCCCTTCAGATCACCCTGGATTTGAGTAAACTGAGAGCTACCTTCTGCAAGTTAACCAACGACCACATACCTGTCACCTGATCATAGTTCCTTCAGATCACCCTGGATTTGAGTAAACTGAGAGCTACCTTCTGCAAGTTAACCAACGACCACATAGCTGTCACCCAATCGCAGTTCCCTTCAGATCACCCTGGATTTCAGTAACCTGAGAGCTACCTTCTGCAAGTTAACCAACGACCACATAGCTGTCACCTGATCGCAGTTCCCTTCAGATCACCCTGGATTTGAGTAAACTGAGAGCTACCTTCTGCAAGTGAACCAACAACCACATACCTGTCACCTGATCATAGTGCCTTCAGATCACCCTGGATTTGAGTAAATTGCACTACCTTGGTGCATGTTATCCAACGGCCACATACATGTCCCCAGATCACAGCTTGTTAATCTCATCACCCTGAAGTTGGCAAAAGTTCGGATCTGCGAATCTGCAGCAGCTCCTGCACTAAGGCTTCCTGCACATACTGAGCTTGGAGATGCTTGCTATCAGTTTATCACAGTGTGCTCTTCCACCCTGATTGACATGGAAGTTGATCTGATGCTGATTACAGCCTGTGGAATGGCTGCAGTTCATTCTCAGATCAGCTGAACAGTTTTCCAGATCTCAGCACCAGTGAACACTGATTGAAATCCATTTCCAGCAGACCCAGAATCCTTTGAAACCACGTTCCTGTTGATGATGTAGTTCTGTTCACATTACCTGGTCCAGTTGAACCATAAAATTGTGGAGCAATTTGTTGTAGGCTGAGACATCTTGACAGTGGAGTAGTTATCTGAAAGATAAATGATTGCTTTTAACTGGATTGAAAGATACAGAAACTGAGAGAAAAACATTCTCATTAACACTGTTTGTTTGCCTACAATTTCCAACCCTGTCAAGATGGGAAATGTAATGGATTGGTGTTCTTCTGCTTTGGCTGGCTCATCCTAAAGAAATTCACCAGTTCGTCTTCAAGATTAAGCTTCTGAAAAAGAAACACCAGTTACAGTTTGAGTATTATTTTTACCCGAGTAGATTGAAAGCTGTCGGGGGAGCCAGCAGCATGGGGTTGGAATTCTCATTGCCGTCTGCTCTATCGTCTCATCATGTATCTTCGTATCTTTCAGGGTCTTTCTGTAATGTTCTGAAAGTCAATAAATGAGTAATAGAAGCAAGAGAATAAAAGTGTGTACTCTCTCCTTCTTGGCACCCCTTCTGATTCGTGGACTGAGACACCCATGATAACTAACACGTCTTTCACAAGACGTCTGCCCTCTGATCTCATCGCTCCACAATCTGAAAATGGCAATAATTTGTTTCTGGCCAGCCTAGATCTCACCAGGATTTATTGTTCTCTATTTATATGTCAAATTGGTGGACTTGTGTTTCCTTAGGGAAGGCCCCACCATAATAAATCTCTTCATTTATACACTTGAGTGCTTTCAATATTCTCTCAAATGAATGAGTGTCCCTCCACATGAGGTGGTGTTGGGTTGCGACCAGGACAGATTACGATTCAGGACATAATAATGGAATCTAATACCGAACTGCGACAGTATCGTGTATGTTCTCTTACTAGGTAATATACCTGTAGTCCACAAAAATAGACTTCAGAACTTCATCACGAACTTTTAGACAGACTAAGATATAATATCCAGGCCATTGATCTGTTTGGACGAAAGTGACATGACATCATCCTCCTGACCTCCACAGCTGACCTCAACACCTTGAGCATAGTGCAGCTTATCCTTACACGTCTGTCATCCAAGATTTATTTCAAATTTGGTGTTAATATTTAAGAATATCTCTCAAGTGTTGATAAAACCATGAAAATGCCTGTATGCTGTTTATTTCAGCAACATCTCTTGACACAATATGTGTCCCTGCTTATCAAAATGTGTTTTGGATAAGAATTCTTTTTTAAATAGTTAAAGGGACGGTGGGATAGTGGTTAAAGCGTCTGCTCTTCACACTGAAGATCCGGGTTCAATTCCCCACTTGGTACAATGTATGAATCCCCTTTCTGGTGTTCCCCGCCGTGATATTGTTGGAATATTGATAAAAGCTACGTAAAACCATACTCACTTACTCACTTTAAAGAGTTAGAGACACCAACTTTTCCCCTCTATCACACAGGCTTTCACACAGGCTTTTCAAAATTCAGGAAAGTTCATTATGAGTTATCATGAATCACGGTAAGTTTGTGTTCTTCTGTGACAGATTGACTGTCGGTTTGAGTATCCCAACAGAAGCACTTGACATGCACCATGTCATGCACCATGTCTCTCCTGTCGAGAGGAGTTGCGAGGCAGCCATTATTCACCTAGCACATTTACTCCCAGATACCGCTAACAGTCACACTACCTGTCTCGTACTTCCTGCCCCACTGGAAGGGGATAATGAGGTTTAGATTGATAAATCTTATCAAAATCTTATCCATCAAGTTATACGACCAGCTGGCATGGCATTGATGGCCACATGTGAAAGTCTTGCGCTCCATCTGAAACGAACAAATGTTGGGATATTGTGGAGGAAAACGGCATCTGTAAATAACTCTGTTTAATGGTGAAGTATGCATTACACATCCTGGTGAGATACGGCTGTATTTATCAGGATTGCCAAAGTCATTAAATATGTAATAGGTTTCTGCGTCTCGTTGTGCAGGTAATTGAATTTAAATGTTATGTACTTAACACTTGAACTGGACCAGTGATCATCCAATTTCATTGCGTACTTGTTCGTCATGGTGCTGATATTTTCTGTTGAGCGTGTAGCCTGGAACACAAGTACACGACTCCTATAAATTGTAATTAATTGTTATCGCTAGATATTTCCAGGTCTTAATCTCTGATGGATCTACACAATTTTGTGCATATTAATATATATTATTTTGTTGATATTAAATTAATTTTCCTGAGTAATGATAAACATGTAACAAACTCTTATTTGAAATTGTTTCTGGTCGGATGTTATATTGCATTTCCATAGACTGTGTTACAAAGTACTTCATGAATAGGTATAATGGCAGCACTAATTGGTGCCAGTGTTTTAGCAGAACCTATTAACTACATCATGCTGAAACTTTGTACAGGACTATTAATACTTGCTATTGTTGCCTGTAATTCAAAATGATTAGCTACACTAGCATGGATAGCTCCATTTGTAGCCCCTCTGGACGGTGGGGTAGCCAGGTGGTTAAGGCGTTCGCTCGTCACACGGAAGACCCGGGTTCGATTCCCCACATGGGTGCAATGTGTGAAGCCTATTTCTGGTGTCCCCTGCCATGATACTGCCCCTCTTTGGTGAACACTCATCAGGACAAGCACCTGCTGTGGTGAATCAGTCAGTGAAATAGACACAAGCACATAAAAGGAAGGCCTGTCATTGAGTCTAAGTGCATTTGTCACCGTTGTGCTGACATTTTCAAGCAAATTGATTGCAGACTTAGGATGGACAGTTTCAAACAAACACCAGGATTGTGTTGATTTAATATGCAAAAAGTAACACGTTTCTTATAAGTCTGAAATCTTGACAGGAAAAAGGTATGGTTTCCCGTACTACCCGGGATATATATCAACTATACACACCAGTGGTGGTGCTATGAGATATACTTTGATGATCAATGAACTTAATTATGTAGAAACCAAATCACATATTCTTGCTTTATGAGTCCGATGGGAATGGGTAATATATCATGGTCAGCCTAGGCTTTTAACCCATATTTTGAAAAGCTAACAAAATAATCTATTTGCATCAGCCTGTTTTAGTTGAACAGTATGAATTAAGAGGTAGAAGTTGAGTGCTGCACCAGCGGTGGAGTTGCATGACGTCAAGGCATCCACATGGTGGAAGGTTAAATGGAGTTCACGTAACATATACTAGCTTGATTATCTTCACTTAAATCTGAAATGATGTATTCTTACAACTTGTCTGCTATCCAAAGAATTTCATCTGATAAGCCATGTTGCAAATTGACGAGTTGTTCCCCGTAAATACAGCCGATTGATGGATATTCGCATAGATCCAAGTATATTGCCTCGAGCTGTACAGCCCCTGAGCAATACATCACGAGATATTGACATCACTCTGTTTTGTGAAAATTCAATTTTCTACAAGATTAAACGAGTCTTGACTGCACAGTACAGATTTAATTTCCTCATGTATATTAAAAGGCATTCGAAAAGGCTCTGCAGAATGAATCTTCTTCGATTTTGTTTAGAATGGGCAGGTGCAGAGCATTTCCTAACTTCAAACAAAAGATTTATGTTGAGCTTTTCGTTTACAGACACATCTCTTCTCAAGGATGTCTTTATAACATAAATTAAACTTTTACTAAAGATTTGAATAGAATGGTGAGTTTCATCCCTTTGCCATGACAGGATCTGATTGGGTTCTTCATGATCCTTTGTTTTCCCTTTACCCTTTACATACGTGTTCGATTTAAGTTAGAAACTGATCTGCTTCTCTGCTTGAGTTCGATATGCCATGATGATATTAAGTCAGTGTGAATCCCATTTCTCTCAGAAATAATCTCTGATTCTAGAGTCTGTGTACTTCACATGTCAAACACCCAGTAATCTGCAGGTTCAGGGAATTTGGATGGGTGTGGCATGGTATTTTCCAATTTCTTTTTACCTCGGGTATGTTTTTATGAACTAAAGGGAGTTGCTGGGCTGCACTCTGACATTATAAACTGTAGTAATAAGACCGGGAGACTTTGATTAGGACTGAGATCTAATGCTTGACATTATATCAATACATGCATGAACACAATAAGCAGTTGTTACACAACTAGTATTGGATTCATGATACCAGTGTAACTCCAGTGAAATCAATCTGAGACGGTAAACAAACCGAGAACACTGGGACAGGGGGAGCATTTAGGAAACTGAAGTACATGCAAATTTCCTCATGAACTTTTGATCATTTGATCTCAAAAAGCGGTCTGTGGTATGAGTTTGTAGTAAAATCATATGTCATATTTTTAGGCTTCAAGTTTCTATACTCCCGGTGTAGTTTCTTGTTGAACTGGAGTAAGTAATCTCAGGTCTGTGTTAAGTATTGTATAATGTCATACGTTTACCTGTTAATTATGTCACACGTTTACCTGTTAATTATGTTCCCTGTTTCACCTGTATGACTGTTGTCTGTCCTTGTCAGTTGTATTGCAGACCACTCGTCTGTTGCTCAGAGTGTGTGTTGGGCATGATTTCGTGTTTTGTCTTATTTCAGGCCTTTTGTCCCCACGCTATACATCCCGAGTGTTGCCCAAGATAACATGGTTTTGTCTGTTTTCAGCCCTATATGTCCCCACCCTATACATCCCGAGTGTTGCCCAAGATAACATCCCGAGTGGTTTTGTCTTTTTCAGCCCTATATTCAGCCCCTATATGTCCCAAGATAACATGCTGTTTTCAGCCCTATATGTCCCCACCCTATACATCCCGAGTGTTGCCCAAGATAACATGGTTTTGTCTGTTTTCAGCCCTATATGTCCCCACGCTATATATCCCGAGTGTTGCCCAAGATAACATGGTTTTGTCTGTTTTCAGCCCTATATGTCCCCACGCTATCCAGGTGGACCCCGGGGGCCAGGGGTCCGGATGCCTAACCAAGTTGAGTTTAACACAGTAAGTACATCTTCACTACGTTCATAAAGTTTACCTTGTTATACAAACAAGTGCATAGATTTAGTTCTGTGGGTATGCAACTGATACGGTGGTTACGCAGGTTTGGCTGACGATGTGGCCATGGTATATATCATATATCCAATGTCAGACTGACTTATGTAACACAGTGTATATGTCTTGTCTGTTAACAGCAATGAAGTAACACATTGTGTTGTGCACATGGTCACATGATGAAATAACCTGATGTGAAGCTTAATTTGAGAATGTGGAAACAGTTATTTGACTACTTTTCTAATGAAAAACATGAATAAAAGAGATAAGATTTTTCGATTTCTGAGACTCAAGTCATCAGATACAGAAAAGCAAGGCACTTTGGTCATGAATGGACCAGAGCAACCAGTCTCCATTATCTGGTAAACAAAGTCCAGAATCATGTCAGTGAATCACTCTATCAGTAATGACACCAGGTGTTAGCAAAAATACCAGCTGCAGATAGACCAATATATATGAATAAATCATTTAATATGGTGCAACATCGCCCAATTCTCTGAATATTCCAGGAAACTGTTTTAGCCCTTGTGATGTAAACATATATACTTGCGTAAATTTGATGTTTCCTCTAATCCTTGCCAAAGTATAAGAGACGGAAGTTTAGATGTACAAAGAGGCACCAGTAACCCAAGCTTACACTCGATTCATAGCAATGGTTATGGCAGAAATACGTTACAATTGAGTCTTTGATTACACTTGATCGGATGACGTAGATAATGAGTGAGTTTAGTTTTATGCCGCTTTTAGCAATATTCCAGCAATATCACGGCGGGGACACCCAAAAATGGGCTTCACACATTGTATCCATGTGGGGAATTGAACCCGGGCCTTCGGCGTAACGAGCGAACGCTTTAACCACTAGGCTACCCCACCGCCCCAGATAAACATGAACAGGAGTATAGATGACAACATGTTCTATGATGTAGTCAGGCTCCTAGATGCTAGTACTCCATGGAAATGTGCTAATAATGCAACAATGTTGTTGTCCCTTTCCAATGACAAGTTATTGAAAACCATACCAACAGGTAGCGTAAAATATTAATCCCTTCAATTTGATGTTAGGACATTATATTATGTTAAGGAATATGTTTATATAATTATGTATATAACTACTAGCTGATCAGACAATGATATGTAAGGAAATATAACTGAGCAACTCACTCACTCGTACAGTGTTATTCCCAAAAGAACCATTCCAAGCTAACACAGAGTTTATGGTTGGAGATCACTGACTCTGGCAGTTCAATCTGAAGCATGAAGATATTGAACTAGTCAGCAGCGGAGTGAATTGACCATTGAGCCAATTCTGATGATGAATAAGTATAACTGGCAAGCCATTCCGATGTCTGGAGTACCTTGTATCGATGTTATACATAGTTACACACATAGGTTCCAATAAAGAAAACAATTACCTTGTCCACCATGGCCTCGTGATGAGTACGTCCCGAGATGGGGCCCTCGGACTCGTGACTAGCTGATGTAACATCACTGCGATAGCTAGAGTAATAGTCAGTGGCCTGCGAGGGCTGATCCGGAGGGAGTCATAGCTCGGCAGTCAAACATCAGTTCTACTTCTGTGTTGCCAAGATAAAAGGGAACTTGTCTTGATCACAAAGCCTGTGATGTGAAAACATTTCCCTAAGTGGAGTTGTTTGAGTGGCATGTGTGGAGGGGGAGCACTACTGAGCTGCCTGCTTGTTGCGGGGCCACTTCCCATGGCACAGAGTAAAACCATCCTGTAACTAGATCCCACCAAAAGTAATTAGATTTTTTAGCCCCAGAGCAGGCTGTGTTACCGAAACCCCCTGACAATGACAACACTTTGCAATTCAGTAAACTGGGTTATCCAACATGGACATCTTTGCTGAATGAGAAACATGGACATCCATTGCCGTTAACCGATTAGGCATCGAGTCAACCTTTATTGGCATAGAGTTGATCAGGCTTCAGTGGACAGACCCGAGTCAATCCCTCTGGTATCCACGTATGCATTTCAGCAGACTGTGTAGGGTTAAACTCTGCCCCCAATACAATGAGATCTCACAGAGAAGAATTAATCACATTGTAATTATTCCGACCGCATTAGGAGTCTATTAAGTTGGTATGTTCCTCCTGTATAAACAGTTGCCATGGGTACTGCAGCTGCTGAGCTGTAATTACGAAAGCTCCTCGTCAAGGTAATTAAGGAACTAACGAGAATGAAATAACTGCAGAAAAAGAGTGAGAGTAAAAAATCAAAGACAGATTGTATGTGATTAGATTAGCACAGACTGGCACAGTACAGTCTGTTCCAGACGCAGCCCAGCCCCATACATCAAAGTATAGCTACCAAATGAAATAAGTCTGTTTTCAAATTCGCCGTTAATCAAATGAGATGAAATTCAATTCCGCTTGCATGGTGTGTCTGAGGGATCCCATCCTCTGTGATCTTTGATTTCTAATTCCTGCTTCTTCCATCCAAGGGAGAAATCCCAACTATTAAAATGTATTCACAAGAAAAACCTCCATCCATGTTTGTTTCACAGTTCCCTCCAGAAGGAGATCTCGTCCCTTCATCCTCTAGCAACAATCAATCTGCCTGCTCTGCTGCTACGGAACGTCATTAAAACTATAAAACATACTTCCAACTACTAGTTGTCTTCTAATCACCATCACTATGAACAGCCAATCAGATTACCTTTTCATAAGCCAATCAGTGCTGGCGTAATAAATCTGTTGTACATCCTGCCAATCAGAGAGAGTCTTAGCAACAGCTGCTGGTTTGACAACAACTGATGAGAAAAGCTACACTTCAAAGAAGGATATTCATCATACAAAATGAAAGTAGTGCATTCCCATCAATAAACTTTATAATGTCCAATGATATCAGGCCTACCCAATATCTCACGGGAACAATGTTTAAGATAGAAATGGATTTGCTTCTGGACAAATTAGATTTCTTGTTATTTGCAGACAGACTATTGCACTGATGTAACGGGGTGTTATTAGTGTTATTTGATACCTCTGAACATACAATAAATATTTGATGATGAATAAAAAGTAGATGGTACAGGGAACCAATGTGTTAGAGATGAGGTTTCCTCTATGGACCCCTGTCCTGATGTGTATTTACCTCGGGAGTTTTTCAGCTATTCCACAATGCAATACTTTTCATGAATACGAAGTGACAGGTGAAAACACATAAACCCATCAGAAGGTATTCAAGACATTTGCTGTAAAGCCTCTGTTAAGTTGTTTGGAAAGTACCACCAAAGGCCCTGTATGCTTTCACAGGGAAGAACCGAATGAAATATGCATGCATTTTAAAACCAGATTGGTAGTAGGGACCTGTATCAAATTACTATGAAATACTGAATTCTAGAAGGAAAAAGGAGTTTTGGAAAGCTCCAGATCCACAATGAAGTACACCTTGATGATTTCAGTGCTAGGATGAAGTACACACTATAGGTGCTTCAGCACCTAGATGAAATACACATTGTAGATACTTCAGCATTTAGATGAAACAAATTGTAGATACTTCAGCACCTAGATGAAGTATACACTGTAGATACTTCAGCACCTAGATGAAGTTCACATTGTAGTTACTTCAACACTTAGATGAAGTACACACTGTAGACACTTCAGCACTTTGATGAAGTACACATTGTATTGTCTTCAGCACCTAGATGAAGTACACATTGTATTGTCTTCAGCACCTAGATGAAGTACACATTGTATTGTCTTCAGCACCTAGATGAAGTACACACTGTAGATACTTCAGTGCCTAGATGAAGTACATACTGTAGATACTTCAGCACTTAGATGAAGTACACACTGTAGACACTTCAACACGTAGATGAAGTACACACTGTAGACACTTCAACACTTAGATGAAGTACACACTGTAGACACTTCAACACTTAGATGAAGTACACACTGGAGACTGCCGTACATTAAAGAGTCGCAAAGCGACATGACTAAAGTGATGAAAGTGGTTTTAAACTCCAATTAAGAGTAAGAAATTTGATTTGGTTAAAGTCAATAGAACATACCGGCAATATCCCAAGTTTGATTACTGACCCAATCTGCCAGATATGAAGATTTGTTGTCAAGGGTCAAATTATCATGATGTTTGAGACTTAAAAACTGTACATTTGAAATTTTCTTTACAGCCTCCCGGCAGTGCTGCAGGACAGATGCCTATGCCCAACAGCATGGAACCAAGGCCGGGTAAGTCCAAACTCCTCACATTACTTTCTGGTGTTATGCATACAGTAATGAATACTATTGTGACACAAACCATCCATATTCTCCTCAAGGCACACAAGCTGGAGCACCAATGTGATTAATATGCAGACATTTGAGCTATATTCATAAGAAATGTTCCCATAGTGATCCATCTCGGGCAGTGGGGGTGAATTATTCACACATTTGATAACCTGGGAAATTGGATATAACGATGACCCAAACACTGACGTTGATGGTCGTCGTCCATGGTTCCTGTCCAACAGCGGAGAGGGTGAAGTGAGATCAGATGGAACAGCCGACATTGTTGAGTGTTACTGACCGATCACACAGGGAACTGGCTTGACATGGTTTAGCTGTCACTGCTGATCCGCAGATCGATGATCGAAAATTGGTTTGGTTTGTGCCGAACTGATGCAATGAATAAACATATGCTGAAGTGAAAATTTCCAAGAAGTGGGTCTTTGTTTTACTTGAATCTGTCACTTGATATGGGTATGATTAGTTTGTCAACTGATCAGTTTTCAATTAACACTCACAAGGACAAGACTGAGTGTACACGGATATTGATGAAGCGACACTTCAGAGGTAGCCAAGTTGTTGTGCTGCTGGGGACAAACAGCTGACAACAACACGAGATGGCGGTCGGACCTGAAGGGTTGCAATACTTGGTGTAAAACAAGGAAATGCTGAGTTGGGTGTTAGATGACACACACAATCAGGGTCACCAGTGATGATATGACAGCCTTTGAGTGGGAGTACAATTGTTAGACAATTGTTAGATGACAGTCATTGGTTGGGAGGGCACGCCCACTGAGCGGAAGTTGGGACTATAGATATATTTGAGAGGGGGACACCCATGGAGGGTGTATTGGGACAATAGGTGATACTGCCAAGGTGGATGGGAGACACCCATTGATAGGGTGTTGGGACAGATGACAGACATGAAAGAGGCCCATTTACTGCATGATGTACATCCATGACCTGATCCAGCGATGAAATGGATACCATTTGCACTGTGATCCTTGTACATTGCCCTTGGTTAGCATCCCTCTCTGTTGCCTCATCCTTAAGTACAACAACATACATGCCTCTTTCATAAAGTCATTACAGTGAATGCTATTAAGTTTGAGTAGCTTCTCATTTCCCATTTCAACTACATGTGGCAGCCATATTGTTTCTACAAGGGGTTGGCCATGCATCTTTGGGCTGCCATGTTGCAGTTATGGAACTACTTAAACAGCATCCCATTCTTCAACTACTTGCCACATTGTACGCTAATACAGAAATCTATCATTTGTGTTTGAACGTTTCTCCAGGCTCGTGGAAGGATATCTGAGTATACAGGTCATTGGGTTCAGGAAATGGCTCTGAGTGGCTTTCGTACGTCTGCAGATAGACTTCTGTCTTTTCTACTTCTGTTTGCAAAATTTCATTTACGCTGAAATGTGGTGTTTCAAATTGAACCGTGTAGACTAAATCTTCTTTTAAAGATGCAATAAATTACATCGACAGCTCTGGTGGAGATTGTAGCCCCCCAGGCCCATGACGTTAATGTTCTCGTGGAGAAAGCACTGAAACTTCCTCTCTTGCCATTAGATGGCAGCCCACAGATCTCCCCTTATCAAAAGCTTTTGTTGTCTCGTCGCTGAGGTATCACAGGGTATTAATCCATTTGATCATGTCATTTATTTGATAATAGTATAACCAAACACGTAATAAACAGCAGTCATTGGCCCTTGACTCGGATCGATTCAGGCAGTAATGGCAGCTGCTCTAGCAGGCCAACCACACACAGGAAAACTGATTATTTCGTATTGTAGTTTATTTTTTGGTGTCTGTAGTAAATTGGAACAAGATCAATGAATGCATTGCATAGAAATAGCAGTTTTACAGGCACTGACAAAGGATTCTGACACATTATTTGTAGTAAAGTATCATGGACATTTCTGATAGAATGGTACATTGGTTACACCTTTCCTATATTGGTTGCAGATTTTCCCAGTAAGGTTTCCAAGATGATTGCTATAGGTGCTTGAGACCCCCTTTAAAATGACTTGAGATTTACCCTCTCATTGGCAAGAGACTCCCCTTGTAGTTTTGACGACTCCCAGTACTGGAGACCTTAGGTTTCAGCTGCTCAATATATATTCCTGAGACCCCCATTGAAATGGACTTACAATTTTGAAGACTTCACCTACTGGATACTTTAAGGTTGTAGAGTCTACCTATATGTGCTTGAGACCACCTTGAAAGGTCTGGAAACTTTGTATATGTGCTTGAGACTCCTTGGAATTTGGATTGACTCTTTAAGATTGGAGACTCTTCGTAATGTGCTTGAGATTCCTTGAATATTGGTTTGAGACTTCTGGAATATTGGCTTGAGACTTCTGGAATATTGGCTTGAGACTTCTGGAATATTGGCTTGAGACTTCTGGAATATTGGCTTGAGACTTCTCCCATATTGGCTTGAGACTTCTCCCATATTGGCTTGAGACTTCTCGCATATTGGCTTGAGACACCTTGAATATATGCTTCAGACTCCCCAATAAGAGACTTCCTTGGAGTATATTGTCATGGAAAGAAGTAATCCAGCAATACTCACGAAGGCTGCAGTGATTAAGGCACTAGCTTGTAGGTCTAATTGATGCTGCCATTATTACTGCCGCTATTACTGCCGCTGCTTCTTTTGATGGCCTGGAGTGTGATACACTTGGCTGGGTTTTATGAGGAAGTAATTTTACTTATCTTCCTTTTGAGCATTCTGGACTTGATTTCCAAATGCCTGGTAAGAGCATTCTTCTCCACTGACATGCTACCTGGTGCAAGGAGTTTGCTCTGGGCTCTCAACACTGTCTTCTCCACTGACATGCTACCTGGTGCAAGGAGTTTGCTCTGGGCTCTCAACACTGTCTTCTCCACTGACATGCTACCCGGTGCAAGGAGTTTGCTGTGGGCTCTCAACACTGTCTTCTCCACTGACATGCTACCTGGTGCAAGGAGTTTGCTGTGGGCTCTCAATACTGTCTTCTCCACATGCTACCCCATGCTACCTGGTGCAAGGAGTTTGCTGTGGGCTCTCAATACTGTCTTCTCCACTGACATGCTACCTGGTGCAAGGAGTTTGCTGTGGGCTCTCAACACTGTCTTCTCCACTGACATGCTACCTGGTGCAAGGAGTTTGCTGTGGGCTCTCAACACTGTCTTCTCCACTGACATGCTACCTGGTGCAAGGAGTTTGCTGTGGGCTCTCAACACTGTCTTTCACAGTGCAGGTCAATTCCATGAGCCCCTTTCAAGATACCTGAAACCCAGTGTCACCACTCAGCTGTTCAGTATATCTCCTAGATTTACAGTTTGCACCTGGGTATGAAATTAATCTACGACAAACCTGTACCTAATGTTGTGGCTCTATCTTGACAACTGATTCATCACAAAGAGAAGATAGTCTGGTCTCCACAGTCTAAGCCTGTGCAGTAATCTGGTTAAGCAGCGTTTCCAGATATTGCCAGCTGGGGATCTGAGAGGATTTGGTCTGACTGCAGGCCACTTGTGTCATAGCTATGTCTCTTGACAGTGAAATGTATGACTAGTTGGGACTGTTGGCAGAAAATTGCTCAACAAGCTTGTGCAATGGGCAGTGATGTACACAACAACTTTGGTCTGTGGGCTTTGAAGTGCCTGACCAATATGAGCTGTGAACTTCAAAACACTGATGCCGCTGGTTTCATAGCATCAGTAAAGGTAATGAGCAGTGAAGGCTGCCGTTGTTGTTTCAGTTCCATTTGGGACCATTCGGCGTGACGCTCGGGGCATCTGTAAGTCCTGTCTGCCCTGTTTTCTAGTGCTTCACCACCACCAAGCAAATACATGTCATGAGTGGCACAGAATTCTATTCATGGCATCATGTCACTTACATGCCATTTCTTCAGCTTACATTGCAGATTGATCCAAATATGAAAACACTTTTTCCTGGAGGCATTTTTCTCTGATGTTCAACTAAACGATGGTACTCTCAGCACGTAATGTGCAAATTGACAGGCTATTTTACCTAAGTACACAGAGAAGTGTTAAAGTGGCTATGCTGTGTAGGTAAATGGGAGGTCTTTGAGCAAGCATGAAGGCCTGTCTGATGTGATGGAGGAGAGCCATCAGCAGACTTGTTCCAGCATTGTGGCCCTGCTGACACCGCTAGAGCCCTGGCCCATCAAGGGGTATTGGTATGTCTGTCATCTCAACATGGATGATCCATGGCAAACAAACATCCCCTCAAGTAACTGTGGGTTCACAGTTAGGTACGTTAGAGCGTCCGCCCGGAGAGGGGAAGGCCGCGGGTTCGATCCCCGACCGCGTCATACCAAAAGACGTTAAAATATGGTACTTGTTGGTCCCTGCCTGGCTCTCGGCATTAATGGGTACAACAAGGACTGGTCGGCTCGGAGTCAGTATAATGTGTCTGAGTGGGGTATTCATGCTTCACTGCTGCATGGTATCTCAGTGGGTTAGCACTAAAAAACCAGCTTCAATCTGGGCTAGTACAAGCAGCCACACATACACAGACACACGCATGCACGTCGTCATATGAGCGAAATATTCTCAAGCACGACATTAAACCCCATTTCACCTCACCTTACCTCACAATTAGGTACAGGTGCATTAGCTTTCTGTATCAACCAGACACAACACCGTAACCATAGATAACTATCATATTAAACACTAGAACCAGTATAACCAAAGATGAAGGTTTGCAGGAGACTTTCTCCGTTCCAACTTTGGACAGATCCCATTTTATCTGATAAGACCTCCCCCAATACATTGGACAGAGGCTCAGCAAGAAGACAGATGTTCAGTGTTTAAAAGGAGTCTCATATGAATGAAAATGATCAAAGTGTTTTCAGCCGGGCAGACACAACACCTTAACTACCATTACACACTGGAGTATGGCATGCACAGGTGGGAACGGTCATTCTTGTTTGAAGTGGCCTCACTGGTAAATCATTAATTAAGAGAGAAAATAGTAAACTCTGGTCTGGCCGAGAGCTGAGTGAAGCGTTAGAGATTCATTGGACATGATGTAGATTTCAGCCACAAAATAAATCAACAAAAAGCGATGTGTTGACTTAGTTAATTAAGGTAAATAGGAAGTAACTGGCTACGTATGTCTCCATCAGATCGAGTTGTCAGCCTTACTTAAGGCCAGGTTGTTGGTTGTAGTCTAAGACAAATTGGCCCACAAGTAGAAAAGGAAATCTTTTGATCTTTGGCTAATATACCTGCATCATCCATGGTATCAGGTCTGTCAGTACCTGAGATACTATATTGTAACCCACCTATTTGTGGAATGTTAAGTACTGTAAACTACCTGTTCGTGTTGATCCTTTGGTGACCTGTTGGAAGGGTAAAAAGATCAGTGTGAACCAAATTTCTGTTTATGTACATCAGTCATTATCTTTGCTTCATGTTTTCTTCAAGTCAAGATGTTAGAAAGATATTTACCTTTAAAAGTAGATGATTTCTTGCACTGCAGTGGTCTTCTCTCCATGTCCAATACAGGTATATATCCATTATTGATTCACATAGCTTAGTCCATATCCGATACAGGTAAATCACCATCCCTGATACAGGTAAATCACCATCCCTGATACAGGTAAATCACAATCACTGATACAGGTAAATCACAATCACCGATACAGGTAAATCACCATGATTGATCCAGGTAAATCTCCCAACTAGTAGACATGGAACCGTCCTCATTTGAGGCACGTAAATCTCCTCACTTGGAAACTCAGCTCCGCATTTTCTTTGAAACAAGTAATCCACAACACTTCTGAGATATCACCAATTTCACCTTCACATGAAACAAGAATTGACCCTCCCAAGAACCAGGTATGGACAGTCCGTAAGTGACCACCACACCAGCTTCCCCCAGTATACTCTGCATCCTACGTCTCCACTCCACTCCACTCGGCTGACTCTTGCTGAATGTCCAGAATGATGACTTTACCACCCCCAGATGTCAGCATGTCTGAAGCCCATATCATGCCTTGTAATTTCATCAACTGATGACAATTCCAGTGTTTGTGTAGAAGCACCCTGCCTTCTCCTAGTCCTCGGGGATAACTTGATTTGCCTTTGATCTCATGCTGATTGTGCCTTAAGAAAGCTTCTCACACACACAGAGGATCAAACAAACACATTTCTGTCCAGGTTCTGGCGTGTGTATCACCCAGTGTCTTAGTAGCTCCTGCACACACAAGTGATTGATAAATACATCCGTCTTGCCAGGCAGTGGCAAGTGCAGCACCCAGAGCTCCGTATCGTGACGGCCATATTTAGCACCTGAAATTAATTCCCTCATTTATGACAGGGTCATGTTTGGTGTAACCGATTACAGTAGATCTCTTGTTGCCTTCCTGCCACTTATCAGAGGTATCCAATATTCTATACCAATAAAGCCTCCTTGATTATTTTGACTAGGTTGGGTTAGATGAGACCATCTATTGGTAAGACGTTGAATAGTGGACAGTGAGCTGGGTATAAGATAGATCACCCCGTGTGACCACGAGCTTGTGTGAAATTGAGTAATTAGTGCTTGCATGCATGGGCAGAACGGAGGCAGATTACACTGTAGACTGCCATCGATCAATCGGTATCTTCTACCACCTAATGAACACAACAAGAGAGACATTTGTGCTGTGATACTCATACTGTCCTAGACTGACTGACATATCATTTACGTGCTATCATTAAATGAGCCCAATCCCTTATCAGCAATTATAGCAATCGGTTACTGTACCTGTCGTAATCTGGCAGCCCCACCTGATATTCCCCGACTCAATCAGATGGCCATGTATCCTGGCTGATTCCGTCCATCAGTGTACAGGGGAATAAATTGAACGCCTCAGGTCCTTGTCTGTTAACTTGTGCTCATTTTTTCGTTCTTTAGCCCCTGGTAGAGACTTGTTTGGCTGCCAGGCATGCCTAGTTAAGTGGTAAATGGAAACTGATTAATATCAATATTATTCTTTGGCATATGTCGTCTGTACTGTTTGGTGGAAACCAGAAGTGCCATGTATTCATGCTTCTCTTCTGTGTCAGGCCTCAGATGACAGGGTAATGATATAATTACAGAAACACTGGATGATGAATCACCCACTAGTGTATGGAAACTAGTCAGGGAGGAAATGCCAGGATTGTTGGTCACTGGTGGATGTATAACTTAGCTGGAGAAGGCAAAATGTGGTACAGATATGCCATCCATATGCCCAGTAACAAAAAGTGGCAATTGAAAGCTTTTTGTGCCACATACTGGGGTCAAAGCAGGGTTAGTCTGTCATTACTGCATAGCAAATAGAAAATGGTTTACTCAGTAAATATTCCACGGAAATTGCATTTGCAAAAACTCTATTAACACAAATGTAAAATGATGTAAGGAAATGTGGCCAGTACAACTTGTCTGTCGGCAGTTGTACATGAAAGCAGGGGGTGTGCATTACAACCATTATTTTGTCAAGGGCAAAATTGCTCTACAAATTGAGTAGATGTCACTAGGTAATTATAGCCAGTGATGCTTTTCCAGCTGTTGTGTGTATTGGTGTTACACAATGTTAATGTGACAATGAAACAAGTCTGTCTACACTTACCACACAGCAGCCATGAAAATGTGTAATCCGTATCATCATAGAAGGGTCTTGTATTCCATTAGTGGTCTTCCAGGCTGTGTAATTACTCCATTGGGCAGATTGCGATCACATTACAGGGTCTCACCAGTTAGTGTCTGGAACACAAGATGGATGTGTGTACACTCACCTAGATGGATGTAGTATATACAGTGTTATACCTCCGTCACCAGCCAACACACTCCTGGCAGATACGAGTTTGTATTCCCTCCTAGCTAGATACAAGTGTGCATTTCCCTTGTGATAGAGACAAGCCTATTCCTCCTCAGATAAAAGCGTGTTTTCCTGTGTGAGCCAGCCACACAATGGCCGTGTATTACACTCCCTGAAGTAAATGCAGTGCCTGGATCATCTCTAAGTGCCTGTGTTGGCTTCCCCAGTCACGTTTAGTTTATATTGTCACCCTATCATGTCTCTGCTGGCTAAAGCATGCTGAGATCTTTGCCTGTCTGACTCCAGCACAGCCTGATTTATAATACCACGCATGCAACCAAATCATGTTTGTAGGTTTGATTTATCTGAGGGACCTGGCTAATCTGTCCAGTGTTTACACCTCGCTAAGCAAGAATCGCTCGGGGGTTTTATGCAGTGTGATTAGGTTCACCAGCTGGAAAAAAATCCTGTCAGATTTGAAGGAAACACATTACATGAAGCATTGTATTGTTTGACTTGTGTCACCGATATGAAAGACCCCTGAAGGGGAGGTAACTCCAATTATTAGCTTTGCACGATCCTCCATTATCCTGTCTGTCACAGCCATCTGAAACTGATCTTGACAATGTCACATGATCATGCATAAGATGTTGCGCAAACACTTGAATTAATAGAATCACAATTTTTATTTGTCATGGGTATTAGGCAAAGGACACTCGTGATTGGACAAAAGAAAAGGTTTCTAGTTGGGATCGAATGTGGTGTTTCAATTTACAGTGTGAAGTTTCAAGTGACCAAGATTGGACATGATAACTCAAAATTAACCTAACTGGAACATGGCTTCTGTGTGTGTGTTGGCACACACGCACCATACTTCAAAGTAACAAGGGTTTTCTTGATTGTCTTGTAATGCCTGTATCATGGAGGTTCTCAACTGTAGGTAAGACAAGAATACAAAAAACAACAGGACAAGACTTGCGCATCTCACAAAGATGCAACTTCTGATGGTGTACAGGTTGTGTGATTGGTGTCACAAGAGTTGGGTTAAGCTAACTCCAGCACCAAAAACAGGACCTCCGTCGCCCACAATTACCTTGAGCCCAATATAAACATGGGATCTGAGAATTGGTAAATGTCTCCTGCTGACCATTAATGTGGCACCGATTGATCCGTCGAAGTACATATGTCGTGGACGTGCGACTGATTGATTTGGCAAAGTACATGTGTTGTTGTGGAGGTGCACTCACAGCTGGGTAATAATTACCGTCTGCTTTTTCTACGCTGGTGATTATTGTGTCTATGTTTGAAGTACAATCAGCCTCCCAGCCCCTCCTCTTCCATCTTACTGCTGCCCCGCCCTGTTCCATATCCGCCCTTGCCAGGCAACTTGAATTATGTCTCGAACAACAGATACCTACATGTGGTAATGATGGAAAATTTGGTAGCAGTTGGCTGCTTATGTCTCTCCTGTGATTCATCTTAAAGATTAAATCCAAATTTCACTAAGAACATACCTTTGATGAAGCACAGACTTGACAGTTGACTTTTGTACCTCTGTTCAACAACATCCCTGGTTCAGTCTCGTAGATTCCAAGCTAAGATATTTGGGGAGCCATGAAACCTAGGTTTGTCCTGTCTAGATGTTGGAAAAGCTTTTGATCAGGACTTGGATTACTTCTGTAGGCTATGAGACCGTAGAGGAACACACTCAACAGATCAAGTTGCCCACAATAGACCATTAACATTCAACATTGGCTAGATAAACATTTTGTTGTGCGACAATGCAGAAGGGCTGTAAATGCATTAATGTGTTCTCAGCCACTGAGGGTTGCTGGGTTATGCAGTGCAGTGGAGATATTTCATGTTAAACATTCAAGAGCACTTCACTGATACAAAAATACCTATTCATAAACCTGAAAGCTGAAAATTAAAGTAGAAACTTGTCATGTTCAATAAATGGACTGTTTTGTAGCACTTGAAGCAATGTCTGCTTATGTGAGGACAAAATGTTATTTTTCCTGGCAAGGGAGAAATCAATTCTTTTCATTTTTTTCCTTGTTCCTTTTCATGAATACACTAAATGGATACAGCCTAGAAAAATTGTGGCTAGAAAACTAACAATACTATAAACTTGGGTAGTATAAAGTCTGGTGTTATGTAGAGTCAGAGCTGTATTGATTACAGTTGTATAAATCAGTTTCGTTGTACACAACCGGCCATCAACACAGTCACAACATAGTGAAGGCTATTTCATTGAAGTCTTCTGTTATCAGTCTATTTAGCGTAACTAAGCGACACTGTCAGAATTCATAGAAAAATGACCATGATCCTGTAATTCACATCTCGGAAAACACACACATGTATAGAATTTCAGAATTACCAGGAACAGTTCAAGTGGGGTTAGTTTGTAAACAGAGAAACATAGTTTGTCTATCAGGCTGTGTGGCTGTATTACTCAATATATATAACATACAAGTTGCCTTCATGATCATGGCTGGCATTGGCATCTATGACGTACCTGCAAGTCTTGGGGTAAGGGAGGACGTCTCACTCTCATATCCTTGTAATTCTGACTGAATGAACCAGTGTCGGCGCAATCTTCAACTGCCCTCCCTTGCTAGTCGTCCATGTCTTTAGCTGCTACGTCCAGGGTATGTCCAGCCTGCCTTGTTCTTTCATTCCTACAAAAAGCCGGTTATCCATAAGCCCTGAATCCTGCAAGTGCCTCTATAAGCCTGTCCTGTCTTCAGCTCCAACCAACTAATTCCTCCAACTGAAAGTGTCCAATAGTGACTGAAGTGTCCGGTTATAGCCAGTTGTTCAGTAGCGTTACCTCTTGTCTCAAGGTTGCCAATCTCTCCAACCTGCTCTCTGTCCTCTGCCCTTGAATGTGACTGACCGTAATCCCAGAGTTATCCTTAACGGTGTTGTTTAATCTCTCCCTGCCCAAGAGAGGACCGGTCCGAACAGTGCTGGATACAACTGAAGACAGCTTTAATACTGACGCCTCTGACAAACGCTTTCAAATTTATCTGCTAATGCATGGAGTAATGGAGCAGTTTGAGAATGTATAGAGATGTCTTACCCTTTTATCTGGTAATGTTATAAATCTTTTATGGATTCCTTGCTAAGCGATAGGCATGCTCGAGGGATAGAGTCCCCTGCTCAACCCTGAGACAGCAAGGCTTTTCATCACATTTTAGACCAGTCTTACTTTGAAGAAGGCCTTTGAAATATAACTCTGGTAGAAGTAATTTCCCTATGACGTATTATTCACGAGTGTTAGATTCTGTTTGAAGAGAAAAAGGGCTTCTCTCCTGGCAAGTGGAGGCACAAATTAAAGAAAGCTTGATTCATTCTATTATCTGCAGGAAGACATTCGCATAGAACAAACACTTATTAGATTCCATGTGATTGATGGCCTCCAAGCACGTCCATATTGGGAAATTAACGTGTAGGGGAAAGAGACGCTGATTTCTATTGCCCTACTGCATGGCACGACATAATTATGCCAGCTTGGACTGCAAATCAGCTATGTTGTCAAACATGGGATTTTCTGGTATATTTAAACACAAAAGACAATTTTAGGATTTATTTTGTGTTAAGGGCCGTGGTCCACTGATAAGACATGATTAGGTGAAACAGGTTTTGTCAAAATGGCCTAAGGAAAGAGAACGACTGACAATGAGTTGGTTACATCAATTGATGGGATGGCTTGATGGCTTAAACAGGCAAGCAAACTCAACTTAGAGAAGCAATTATCAGAGTTTCTTTTATAAACATAATCTGATGTGGATGTATTTTGTTTCAATCAGAAATTGTGCTGTATTTCCTGAAGCAGAAATTTCAATAAGGTTTAATTTTAGCTGCACTGTAGGGAGAATTAACATAAGCTAGTTGCCAGCAGTCTTTGAAGTACCATCACAAAGATAATTTCTTTCATGGTTGTGATTAGCTTCCGCTGTTGAGAACCAGTGCACTTAAAAGCTTTTCTTTTATCAATATTTTTGCATTTCCCCTTGCATGTGAAGTTGTAATTTCCTCTGAAGCCTCATAATTTTCCTGATTTTATCAATTCCAAATCTAATTGGATTTTCTAGAAGGGTAGCGACATGTTTATCCCATGAAACAAGTTAGGCTAATATCTCTGTGCAAGCCAAACCATCAAAGAGAGAACAGAGAACTATAGCACTAAACTCAATATGTTATTATAAGCTTTATATTACTGTCTATCATTACCCAGCACTGAGGAGCTCTAGTGTGTGTTGTCTGTCTACCTATCTTAACACACACTGCTGCGGAGTTTCTGTAAACTCCATTTGTGAAACAAGACACTGCTGTGGAGTTTCTGTAAAACCTGTAGGGGGAAAACAAGGCATAGAATTTCACATGCACGGTGTGAAATGATACCCGAGTAATGGTAACATAATTGCTGGTTCAAGGACAACATTTCTTTGGGAAATAAGAAACTAATATGTTTAAATCTGGAGTGTGTTTATTTATTTTTTATAGCAGAAAATGAAGGAAAAAGGTGTCATGCACTCAAATAGTGATCTTATTGTACTTTATCAGAGAATTTATATCAATATGCGTGTGTGAGTATTTCTGCATCCGTGCTGGCCCTCGCCACCTGCTGTAAAGTCTGACACATCAGATATCTGCTGATTGGCTATTGTTAGATGACACTTCATGAAAGAACATATGCCTGACTGCTATCATGACAGATCGGGCTACATCTCCGGTGTAATGAGAAACAGTAATGAAAATCCCCTTCCACATCTTTCCCAATCCTCTCAATACAGGAAAAGAAAAGGACAGTTATTGACGCAAGAATCAATTAAAAACAGAACAGAAACTCTGTGAAAGTTACTGCTTCTAATGGACGGCAGTGAGAAAATAAGCACCAGACACACATCTGTGAGGATTTAGCAAGATGGTTTCAGCATGATGAAACTGAACATGCACATGGAAATACACACACATGCACATGGAAATACACACACATGCACATGGAAATACACACACATGCACATACCTGTAAACATACCTGCACTGGGGCCTCTCCATGTCTTCTTCGAGCAACACGTGTTGGTACCACTGATCACTTTGTGATTTAGTGGAATGAAGAGAACAACAAGTCCAGAATGCATTCCTGTTTATCCTACGTATAGAATGCCTTGCTACAGACTGATGCCTATCTCAGCATACGGCTTTGTTGTGTTTCTTCACAGTAGCACACAAAACATGCAGGCTTTGATGGTTGTGAAGCAGAGCTTCTTGCTCAAACCTGTGATCACAGAAGCTTGGATCCTCTTGCACTGACTCTCTACATTCTCAACATTGCTTACAACAACTGCCACTCCACAGGGCTGCTATTTCACAGATAAGTAGTTGAAAGGATGATAGCCTTCACAGGACTCTTCTCCAATATTTTTACCGTCTTATCACCAAATCTGTAGAAATATTGCTAACTTTCGTCTGTGTAGGGTTCCATCGCTCCTCTTGACAAGCACATACTTAATTTCCGATGTTGCAGAAAATGCTATCAGCTTCAATAGCTTTAAAGTATGGGAGAAGATAGCCGTCCAACTGCATGGTGCTGTGTGGAGAGAGTATGGTATATAACTTGCTCATCCAACCTCTGTACCAGATGCTCCGACGTTGACAAATCCCCACTTAAACATTTCTACTCTCTCATATCTCTGGAGTTTTTATTGATTAATAAATTGCATTCTTTGATGTAGTGGATAGACTGTCATTTCAGAACAGAATCTGAAATGGGAAATGCAGCTCAGCTTTTAAATATGCCTCCTGTTCATTACATCAAGTTGAGCACTGTAATGACTCTCATCTAATCTCAGACTCCACAAAAATCTGCTCTTGAAGGATGGTTAGATTTATTATCAGCTGCTTACTTAGCCAGCTCTCTACAGTCCCCAACACACTCAACTAAATGCCTTGGCAGTCGTCAATGCAAAAATCCAGATGGAAAATTTCTGCTGTGTATGTCCGTTCATTTGATCACATCATCTGCCCTTTTGAACAAAGCTGGACTTCTTGCTTATCGCCTCAAACACGACTTTCATTTTAAATCAGGATATTAACTTTTTCATGCCTCAACCTAAGGCCTCTTTCTATTAACTTGGCCAGCTTCAAACAGCGCTTTCATCAAGGCCTCTAACATGTCAGGCGACTGAGGGAATGGACCTGCTGTATTACGTTGCAGCACAAGCTCCCACTTATACGCTTGTATTTCCAGGATGCTTACCTTGAAAGACTACTTGTTGTGAAACTGCCCGCAAAGAAAATCGTTTTTTCAGACTCTCCAATCATGGCTGACAATAGTCTATAGTGGGTCCCCCAGTGGTGCAAATACTGGTATTCAAACCTTTAGAAGCCTAATATCGTCAGGTGATGAATGTCCTAAATAAGTTTTGATGGAGTGGGTGAATGTGTCACGAATTGATTGGGTCTTTTATTGGGAAACCTTTTAACAGCGTTCATGGTGGTTACATCATTGTCCAGTATGGGCAGTGATATGATTGGTATTGCCCCAGAATGAGGCTTCTCAGTGACCAGCCTTGTCTATGTTTTGCTGGTATGTCAGTCTTGCCACAGATTCACCACTTTTTCAGTCATTTACTCAGCTTGTTAGTTTGGTCAGACACTCAGACCTCATGAAGCATTTGCCAAATGTCATCTTGAATCATTAAGGTCAGTCACCCACATGGATCCCACTGTGGAACCAGCGAGTTGAACTTCCACCTATAGCAGAATATCAAGCCTATCCGTACACCGACTCCTCCAGGAGAAACCCCCTTTAACTGCATTAATCTTGTTCAGCCTTCCCCCAAGACACAGCATTGTCAACTTACATCAGTAACCTGCCTTAACACAGAAACCTCGCAGTATTCCCCTACACATCAAAAGCTATTGCCTGAATGTGACGATCTTCACACTGACTCATGTAGGAAGGAATCCCCTCTAGCACCATGAAGCATGTTCAGGCCAACATAGTTCTACCATCACCCACACAAGCTTATCCCGGCCCCCATCTCTCCTCCACATCCCATCTCCACCTACCTTTCCCAACTGTCATCATACATCGCCTCTGTTCGCGTCTGCTAGTCAGGTGTCCTTGTGTTTTCTCTCAGATCCATCTTGTCCTCCCTTCCAGGCCTTTGTAGTATCACTGATCACATTTCAGACCAAATTAAATTAGTGTTTCTGAAGAAGACAGTTGAGGACCATAGCAGCTGAGGTCATTACCACACCGGGCCTAGTCTGATACACTGTGTATGCATAATGATGTGCTCAGGAAATTACTTTCTTTCAAGCTCCCTCGGTCTGTGAGACAGGTGACTGTGCCAGTCATAATCACGATGGCAGGGTTTTTTCTGGTTCGTGTAGTTTCCATGCTGAGCGACATGACACCAGCTGAAGTAATTATGGCAGCGAGTATCTCTTTGATAACATTAACTCCATCATACAATGTTTCTTATCCACTTTGATCCCGCAATCGACTCGTTCCTTCTTGAGCAGACGGACTCGGCTAGCATGCACGCATCTAC